TCACCCCACCACCCCTCCCAACACTACACGTCGTCTATTTCAGCCGACTCTCCCATCACTTTATACACGTCAGTATCCTCTTCTTTGGACTCTGATAGATATAACGCAGAGTAACGGTACCCAAATGATTAGCACACTAACCAAGATCTACTCTTGGCGAGTATATCAAAGATAAATATATAGATATATACACGTCTCATATATAATCTGCCAAGATGAAGAACATCCCGTTCGGGTTTTACCTGTAAGAAGTTTCCATTTCAATAAAGACATGTGTATATATATATATATATATATATGACTGGTATTACTGTTACGTGTGTATTAAGCTGTGAATGGTCCGGCGCTCAACAAACGTCGTGGTCGAGTAAGCTCTCTTGGGGCGTCGGGACGCATACGTCGCGCAGACGTAATACCCATCCGCGTACCCGGAGAACAGAATAACGTCGACCCGATCCGAGGAAGGTTCACCACGTATCCAACGGTACCCATAATGATTTATATGCTAATAGAAAATAATTTTTTTTTCCTTATCTTCCTTTCTCCGCTCATTCTTATCCTTCGGACAGTCTCTGCGAACAGGGAGCAACGGATGTACCGATAACTCCTTTGGCTCCAGGTATAGCGGTATTGCTCGCCCCGGTTACCCGTAACCGATAGCGACTCTGTTAGCCCGACGGGATTACGTTGGATATGTAATTACAGACAAACCGGATACCCCCGGCGCTCCGTGTCTCTTGGACTTAGGGGAGTATCGAGCGATCGTTATGTCCGCATTAATGGTGCATTGTGCTGGGAAGTTTGATAAGAAAATTTTTTTTCACTTTACACTTTCACGTATCCGTTCTGCGCTCGCGGAGTCCTTGATCATTCGTTTCCAGGCATACCCAATACTGTTGACGCAATTTTCGATCGTAAACGGTCGTGGAACTATTGGCTGGGAAGTTTTCATGGGTAACGATTTCAAGAAAGCTTAAATGATCTTTATATACATACATAGTGCTCCCGGGAACCCTTTAAGACGTCCACGATCAGCTCACCCGATGGTCTCTTTATTTTTATTTTTTATCTTATTCTCTCTTTTGCTCTTTCGTTACGTTTCCTCCTTACACACTTGCCTCGGTCCTGCCTCAGTCCTCCTGTACTCCAATCGCGCGCTGCTCCTCAGACGGGTTTTGCGCTCTCGTATCTCATTCCGATTACATTGCCGTCGTAGCTCCTTCCACCGGCTTCCTGGTTCCTGGGCGTAACGCGAAGCCCTTAACCTCAAACTTCCAGGCGACCCTCATCCAAATAAATTCTAATGGGATTTAATCGTTCTGACGTTTCAAGCTCGGCAGTCGGTATTGATTTATTTTTCGACACAGCTGCTGGTATAGTTATCTTACCGGTTTTACGTGTAACGCGGGTTTTATCGTTCGCGAGCGAACCTTTGACCTTGGATCGGTGGTTCGATACTTTTATACGTTTGGTCACGCGGCTCTTGGAGGGAATTTATGCATTTTCAAGCTGACTGTATCAAGGTCTACTTATCGTGTGACTACCTCGTTCTCTCTTGCGCCTTTACGCGCATATATATATATATATATATATATATATATACTGGCTGGCAGCCTCTCTCGTTCTTCGGCCACAGAACTCCGACCGAGTCTGACCGTTAAGCTCGATTTGCATCAAAGGCATTTTAACTGGATCGCAGTCAGCCGCTATCGATCGTTTACCGATAGGACGTGACTGCGTAGGTAGAATTTTCTCTCGTTCATTAAATTCATCGGAGAACCTAACAGGGCGAGTCCATGGCGAACCGAATGGTGGGAGGGCACGTGGAGGGTTGGAAAAAAATACTTTTTAGGTTATGTTACGTTCGAATGGATTTTGATGAAAAATTTTTTTTTTTTGGGGGGGGGAATTTTTTTATTACTGCATACGTCATCGGTAGCTGTGATCGCGTCCACGTGCACGGCCACGAAACTCCATGTTAACTCTTTGGTCACGCTCTTCTTATTTTTATCTTGCGATCCGCTTGGGAGAGAGAGAGAGAGAGGAGGTGAAAAAGAAAATTATAAAAATATTGAACGCGCTTCGATGTCTCGTATGAATTTTTTTTTAGGGGATATTCATGGGGCGATACTATATAATCGCTTTTTGGATTTATTTGACTTTCATCCCTTCGAGGGAGCGCCTTGACACTGTACTGTTGTTATTATTTGGGGCGTTATGGGTATTCGTGGTAACGATTTGTCACGATCTGGGATTATTATTTCTTTCTGCTTAACTGTCATCTGTTTCTTGTATCTATGCGCGGATATATGGGTATAGTGTTGGGTACATATGGATATGGTGTGTTAAACTGATGTTATATGGCGACTTTCGCTCCATATTGGATGCGAGGTCTTAGTTGCGAAAACTGGGACGTTCGTATTTACCGTTCGAATTCCTAAGAGTAACGCCACTTCCGGTTTGTCGTTTTTACTATCGTCATTATTCGTAAAATACGATTCGTATACTTTCGTTGCGATAATGAAAATTTTTTTTTTGGCACCCGGTATATGTCCGCCTAAAAAATAGTGTCATCCCTTATCCGAAGTACGGTTTACGTACTGCGCCGTTGTACGAGGTTTCGTAAATTGAATCGAGTCGTACGGAAATTATGGTTGAAAAAATAGCGGTTTTTTTTTTTCTTTTTTGACACAATTCTCACTCGACGTACAGTCATTAAACTCTGAGGTCATTCCCATAAATGATAGCAGGCGTCCAGTGCTGTGTATCTTGCCAGCCATGACTCCGATAGGACTTCCTGCGATATCTGACAGTCAAAGTAGGTACCGCGAGTCTCTCGGGAGGTAGTAGCGTTGTGAAAGAAAATTTAGGGGAAAAAATTAAAATTTTTAGATTTTCATCCCGGACCGCGTGGACGTTGCCGATAAAAATTTGATGGGAGATTTTTAAGGGTTACAAGGAATTGAGGAAATTTGATTTTTTTTTTAAGGTCATAACTCGATATAAAAAAGTGTTACGTATTTACAGTCGATGCATAAACTGCATTAGACCGGAAATCTATGGACTCGCGTTACGTACGTAAATAGATGCACTTTATCAAGCTGACGCACTGTAGCTCGTGACGTAGGTGCACCGTTATCTCGAAATTATTGATTTTCTTTTTAACGCTACTGTACTTTGCCATATGTCACCCGCGTCCTGTTTTCATACCATTGTTTCACGAGTGATCCGGGTAAAAGGGTTTCAACGTAGTTTCACAGTGTTTCTCAAGCGAGTTTTATTTTACGATGGTTACCTTTTTTTTTCGTAATTTTGAAAAAAAAAGTCGAGGACGAAATCAAAATTATTGTAGGAAAATTTTTGTCGATTGACATTTAATTGATTTATTTTGATGGAAAAATATTCACGTGCTCCGCGCACTGGTCGGTGTGGTCGTAGCTTTAAGGTTGGAAGTGCGCGACCCGCATGAGGTTCCCCTTAGCTTCGCACCTGCCTGGTCCGTCTGTGTATCAGTGATTAGGGTACTTGGTCATGCGGGGGGTGGGAGTGGGCGGGGTGCACGACCTTATGACTATATATATATACGTGAACAATCGCACCACGTGTTTCTGGAATACAATGAATACGTATAGAGCGATGACGTAACGTACTTGAATATATATAGATATGTATACAACAGCAAGGAGGGGGGAAGGACGAGGGAGGAGTAGTATATACGCAAGATACTAAATTCAAGTGTGGCAGCTGTGTCCTTAGTTAATTGAATGCTCCGGGTCTCTCGTGCCTTGGTAAATGGTTGTTTCAAACGCGTCACTGTTACGTCACGTTTGCAGAGGTAGGGGAAATTCGTATATGGAAGGTATGGCGAAATAAAAGAAAAAAAAAAACAAATTTCATCGTCGACAGATAATACAAGAATAATTACATTATTATTTTCGTGGCGAAATATTTTTTTATAAAAATGTGGGAAAAAAAAATGAAAATTTCGAACGAACGATAAACATGGTCAACGATTACTGAGAATTGTCAAAGTTTTTGTTCTTCATATTTTCTTGACCGATTCGATTGCGCAATTTCTTGTACAGAGCGTACAACAGTGGCTGCGTGCCATTGTTCGGAGGACTTCCTTTGTTGGAATCCTCAGAAGCCCGTAATCCTATAAGACAGAAAAGACAGGATGTGGAATTTCGACGAGGATATCCTGTGGTTTGATCTCCATTTTTTTTTCTCTTTTTAATATAATAGTCGACCACCGGGTTCAGTCGATGCTCGCTTATCGAGCTGTACGGGTCGCTTTGTCGTTATACGGCTTTATCGGGCTAGAAAAATTGTTAGGTTATGTTTTTTTTTTTCAATTTTTTTTTTTTTCAAATGCCTTATCAGAATTCGCGATATCTTTCTCGTTGCTAAGCCACTGGGGATATTTTACACTATCGAGGTATGTGACGAGATCGATTCGATCAGGAATCTTTGCGTTATCATTATCGCGTCTGCTGTCATTATCAGCTTAAAAATACCCAGACTGGGTGTAACGGCTACCAAGAAGGTAGACTTGACAGTTGCTCGTTTGCTTTCGATGTGGACGGGGAAGCGTCCCTTGCGAATTGTCGACTGTGTTAATAATTTTGTGAATGTGACTGATAATGATTAAATTAATAATAATAATTATATAAATATAAATATTTGATTCCGAAGCGACAAGTGATATGAGATATGACGCGTGATATTATAGTGTGTCGTTAATTAATATAAATTGGTCGATCGATCGTGATTAATTGAACTTTATAAAAATTCATCGATTATTATTGTTATTCATTTATGAGATCGCAGGTGTCACGTCTAAATCGATATCGAGCGGATCGTCTTGAAATTTTCGGAAAAAGATGTTCGAGTGGGTTAATTCGGTTGGACGGTTATGATAAGCCATCGATCATCGTCGATACTCCAGGGACGAATGGTCCAATCGAATTAACTTTTTTATGGACACGCCCGATGCTGGTGTCGATGCTGAATCAATTGGAGCGTGGCCCCGATTTGCTTATCTATTTTCGTGATATTACGTTGATAAGATCAAATTGGGTGGAGGATGTCGTGCAGGAAAAAAATCGATGCCAAATTGTGGCTCAGCTACACGACTATGGTAAGTGATCGACCACGAGGATAATGATCTTGTGAATTTATTGTTTAATTGGTTGTGGAAATAAAAAAAATTAATTTAATTTTGATTTATTTTTCTATTAGGGTTTTTAAGGATTTTTTTTTCACTTACCGGTTTTTCGATTCTAATTTTATATCGTAACGGCGATAATAATCGATCGATCATTAATTCTTATCTACCGTCGCAAGTTACGTCACGTGTATCGTACTTGAATAATCGATGATACGCCATTTACATCTGGGCGTATTAACGATCATTGATCGTAGAGTCTGGTACTCCTTTATCACAAGGCCGCATGCGGGTCGATTAGCTGCTCGGGGAAATAAGACTGGGATAGGTGGAGTCAGGATGCGAATTGACGGAAGAAATAAATTTTCTTGGATAAATTTAAAGCGACACTCATTCAGTGGGAAGATCGGTATATATATAAAAAAAGGAAAAATTAGATGAGTTAGATCGACTAGAAAATGAATAAATCGAGAGGAATATTTAAAAAAAATTAATAAAATTTATTACATCGACATTCGGGTCATAGAACTTGTTGAAGGAAGTTGAAAAATTTTTTTTTTAATTTTTCGTAATTCCCGCCAAATTTCAAAAATCCTCCAGAATCATTACGTGGGAGAAAAAAAAACTCCGACTCACTTTCAGACCCGTCGATTATTTCGAGCGTGTCATGCACGATTTCGCTTCGGGTCTCTGCAGCCTAGCGCCCAGGTCCCAGACGCCCTAGACGCCCCAGGGCCTCCGAGTATTAATGGGAGAGGATAGCACACAGAAGGATAACCTATAAAAGAAACAAGACGACAGGCCCTCATCCTCCGTCCATAACAGACCTCCACGAACCTCTTCTCTGAGAACAGCAGGTAACCTGGGACTCTGTACTCCGTAGCTTCACGATCCAACTAACCCTGGATCCACAATCGAAGCGCCTTCGTTCCACGTTACTATAATCCTTCGAAATCGTCTACCATTCGCACGGTACAATCCACTCGTACCTTAAGAAAACGAGACCTAACCTCAAATCGTAACGTTAAAAATTTTCCGAGAGCAGATTTCTTCCTTACCGACTGTCACTCGCGCGGGCTGAGTCGGAGTTAGTCAAGGGATGCGAAGTTGCCATTAGCCTGGGTTACGCGTCGCTATTGCGAAATGCTTGCTGTTCGTTCGGGAAAGAATTTCTGACAACATGACTTCTGCGATAACACGAGAAATGCCAAAATTATCAGTTTGCCGGTTCGTATCCGATTTTCAATCAGCCGACTACGCGTACGTTTACATTAAAATTAATTCCGACGGAAACACCGAGACCTCACAGTCTGGCTGATACGACTACCTGACGCGACCTGGTGGATATGCATGTATGTCGTATACATATTTATATACGTGTACTATACTTCAAGCGTTCCAAAAGCCCGGACACCTACCTGCTTCCATTTACCCTATACATACGTATAGGTTATGTATGGTTAGGCTTGTCTTCTTTACTACCTTCGCATTGGTCTTCTTTACGTTTTAGTTCGTCCAGCCGTCCCCTACCCCGCTCCTCTCTTTTCTCTCTCACCTTCTCTTCTCCACTCTTGGCCTGAATCTTTCTCTTATTCTTGGCTCACAGTCTGTCAGAGGACCCCCTCTCTCCCCACCTGACTCTCCGTTACCCTCTCGTTTTACCGGCTACAACTACCAGACGTCGTACCAGTCTGATCTTGGACGCGGTACCGAGAGTGTCTCCCCTCTTTCTCACTCTCATTATTTTTCGTATTATTTTTCGCTCCGTGCTCTTTCCTCTTGCTACGAGAAAGAGATGCCTGACGAGAGCGGCGATTAGAGAGTTTACGGTTTAATAAGTTCTACAGTGTACATATATATATGCGCGTGTGTATACACTGCTGGAAGAATGACGAGGGATGGTAAAAAAAAATTTTTCAAAATTACTTACAATTTAGTGGGCAAAGAAAATTTCGGGTACGTCTCTGTAGACGTTTCGAGGACGTGAAATTTTTCGTTATTGTTTTTTTTCTTTTTTTCTTGAATGCCTTGTCTTTTCGCGCCATTAATTTTCAACGTCCGTGAAAAGTACAGGTGTATTTTCTCACGGGGCTTTCGTGGAAGGGATCATTGTGCCGTGTGGTTCTTGGAAATGTTTTTTTTTCTTTTTTTTTTTTTTTTTTTTTTTTTTTTTTTTTTTTTTTTTTTTTTTTTTTTTTTTTTTTTTTTCTAAAGAAAATCAAGAGATACTCTCGTCTTACCTCAAGTTCAACGTCGTAAACCTGGGACACTTTACTTTTGAAATCTTTACTTACTTCAGTCTACGTTCTGTGTCTTGTTTCCATTGGATATAACGTACGTCGCCAACTTATACGTACAGTATACCTATATAGTTGGTCCAGTGGGATTTGAAAATGTCTGCATAAATTTTTTTTACCGGTTCCACGGAAATGTCTGCAAAAACATGGAGTCCCCGGTACGTAACAATCTATGTTGTCAGAGGCTTAGAAAATTGTCAAAAAAAAAAAAAAAATTAATTATCTCTAAATCAAATTTTTCTTTTAGTTACCTCACAGTTACCTTTCAGTACGTGTAAAAGTACTGAGTGAAAAATAATTGTCAATTATTTTCTACTCGTCGGCGACATACTAGGAAATTATCTGATGACATTAAATGCTCTTAAAAGCAATGACGTTTGTCGTTAAACAAGCAATTATTCAAATCGCTGACGCAATCAGTTCTTAAGTCTGATGACACACTGAGGGTATATAAATGCATATATATATATATATAATAAACGGTCTTGTACACTCAGCATAGTAGTCAGCAACAATGCCGATAAAATACCCCGTCGCTCCGTAGCATTTATCTGCTTGTCCGGAAGACTTTCTCCTTTCCGTTATTTCACTTCTGGAGAGCGCGAGAAGAGCATCTCGAGGATAGGAATATAGGGTAACCGGTAAAGCGCTGTAAAGAGCGTCGAACGGGAATGACGATTACGCCACGTGGACGTGGATGACGTCATCTCATTTTCAAAATTCCCGCCTCGTCGATTCTCGGTCATAGTTTGTTGGTCGACCGAGCGACTCGTTTTTTTTCTTACGGCTGCATACAGTATTATTATTAGTAGGAAGTGGTTTACATGAAATTTATAAATTTTCGAAATTCAATTTTAACTTCAGTCCTGAGATCCCATATTTTTATCGAGCACCGATTTGATTCGTGCTGCGAACGAAAAACCGTTGGCAAGAATGGAGAAAGTTTGCAACATACCTTTCGGGACGTTTGTGCCACTTTGGTCATGTTTGAAGTTTTTTTTTTTTAGGTTAACACATACAGGTGTATCTGTATTGAGCATTGGCTGGTAATAAATGACGGTTAATACAAAGAAATGGGACTGGTCGGTAATTCTCTAGGTAATTAATTAACATAGGGAATTTCATGTTTATTTTATTTCTTGGCACGGGGTTTCCACCTTTTTTTTTCGGTCTATCCTTTACTCTATTTTGTTGTACGAACGTCGGGGAATCCCCTATGGCGTCTGCTAATAATCCATTAAGGGTTGGGCGTCGCCATGACTACCGCGAGCTAACCTGTCCTCTTTACGTGAATTGCATAGATATACCTACTGCCACTTATGGCAACTTTATCATTCTCTTTTTTTTTTCTTTATTATTATTTATGGACCCGTTTTCAAATAGATGCCTCCGAGTTTACCACCTCGTGCAAGTACGTAAGCGCCTCCATGTATACGTACATATACGTACAGTGCTGTATGTACGTATATATGCCGGTAGGTTGGTACCGCAAACCTCCTACTCAGCGCCAGCCAGCGGCTAATTACAACGTGTCGTGAAAATTTGCGGCTTCCTCAGAGTTCGCGGTCATAAATTTCCACCTCTCTTTATTCTTTGCCGATGTCTAGTTTCCTCGGTATACAAAGAGAAAGAGAGAGAGAGAGAGAGAGATAGTACGAAAGAGAGAGAGAGAGATAGTACGGAGAAGGATAGGCTCTGTCTTATTATTGCTATTTACCGTTCATTAACACTACATTGAAATTCCAAAGGACCGATACGAAAAAAAATAGTTTATCGATCAAACATACCTTGTGCTTTGTCATAACGTATTTTGTCCTTTTACGAATATAATTTTCACAGGCATGAAAAATTATCTTTATCGTCGTACTAAAATCGCTCGTTGCAGTAATTGCTAATTTTAACAGCTGTTTATTTAGCACATCCTTGTTTATCGTCGTGGTAAGATTAGAAGAAAAAAAAAAGATGGTGTCTTAGTGCTGATAACGTTTCGGGGTATATATATATATATATACTGTATGTATAACGTGATATAACGTATGCCGACGTTATTGTCTCTACGTGCAAATGGAAACTCGGCCTAAAGAGAAGGAATCTCGAAAAGAATAGCAAGCAGCGTGTTGCTTTAAAATTTTAAACGTGCACCGGTAGCAAAAGGATCGAAAAGATCACCGTACCTACCTCGGTTACCGTTTATCGTTGACCTAGAACCAAGTCGGGCAGAGTCGCTGTTAATCTGTGAAAGAGTGGAAGCAGAAGAAGAGGAAGAAAGAAAAAAGAAAAAAAAAACACTCCGGTTCAATCAGAACCGCCTTTTCTTTTTTTTTTTCCCTTCGATTCTTTCAGCAGACAAAAATTAATCCGACGATCTATAGATCCGTGGGTGGACAGCGGGCACGTTGCGAATAATTTGTCGATGGACGATCTTATCGGTGTCTTAAATCGACATGTATCCCCGAGGGGGTCGAGGGGGTGGACTAATTAACGGTTAACAATAATCACGAATTCGATCGAGGGTAGAAATTATTTTACGTATCGATCTATAAGAGCTCGTTTGATCGTGACTCTAATTGGGATCTATCGAGTAGTACTCCATTGCAAGATCTTACAGGGAATTGCTTTATCTCGATCGTTCTGAATCGGCCGTTGAGCCATCAGATTTTTTTTTAATTTTTAAATCGGATCTGATCCTTTTTTAAAGATCGATCACAGATCGGACTGTGGAATCGGAAGTCACAGGGATCCTGGATCGTTCAGCGGAAGCACGTGCCCGGCGTCCCGAGGGAACCTTAGAGGGAATCGAGAACTGCTTTTGATTAATCCCAGAAGAACAGCTGCTCGCTTGCTGTTGCCCGGCATACAAAGCCGCCATAGTAGACGGGATCCTTTAAACACTGGCAAATCGGCCGGAACTGGTTTCTCATTGTCGAAAAGATTTGGGCGAGGCTCAGGACCACGATGATTCTGTAGACCTGAATATATTTGGAAGATTAAAGACAGTCGGTACTGCTTTGCTTATAATAGTCGGAAGTCAGTTGGGGAATATATTGTTATATCGGTTATATAGTGGCAGCAGTGAAACCACTCTTACCTGTAGTAACTGTTATTAAGCTGATAGTCCTGACAGCGCCCTTATACCAGACTCCTTTCTCTCGTACCGTTTTATTCCTGCCGTACGTGGATCACCAGGTCGAGTCTTTCTGGTCCCACTTTACACCTGGATAGCTTTGCTTTTCTTTAGAGACAGCTGCGCCTTTTTGCCACACGCTCAAAAATTCATCAAGGGCACCTTGGTCGTGGCTTCCTAAAAGTCGTCTTCCTGGTCAGGCAGATGATTGATCGGGTCCGGTAGATCGTGAGCTTGTCGATAAATAGATACCGTGACGTTACATGGGAGGATCAAAGAAAGAGGTTATATGAGAATCAAATTGTAATTATTGTCAACTGATTCCAGATGGAGACCGAGGTGAAGACTTTGAAGCAGGAGCTGGCAAGGACCAGGGAAGCCTTGAGAGCGGCTACCAAGAGATGCAGGGACCTGGTGCGGGAGCTGGACAACAGGACTGCAGGACGCGAGACAGAGCGAGCCCTTCGCGATCAGCAGCTATCCAGGATTCTGCGGGCTCTTCTAGTCCTGGAGGGTCGATTGAAACAGGAGCAAAAGTCCATCAGACAGCTTCTCTGCGAGAAGGACACAGTTATACGCAATCAGCAGCTAGAGATTGCCAAGCTGCGACGTTACACGAAAAATTACATAAAGTCCAAGCGCGAGAACGTCGTCTGCAAGGATACCATTAATGATCATGATAGGTCCGCTGATAATACGTCGACGGCTGATCTCCAGAGTGTAAAGAGTGACACGAGCCGATCGGACAGTAGTCTTAGCAAGGACATTCAGAATCTTAAGTGCGAGATCATCACCAAGCTTAACGCTGAACAGGAACAACCTAGCACGGGTATCAGGAAGACCCACAGCTTCGCCGAGAGCGACGTGTCTAAGACCAGTGTGACCAGTAGCGAGAATAATACGGACGTGTCGATCATCACCACGACGACCGACAGCAGTCCTTCCCTTCTTAGTACCGAAGGGTTCTGCGAGGGAGAGAGCACTGATGTGTCACCTGGTTCCACTCTGAACAAGTCCAACAGATGTACACCCACTACGGTCACCGACAGCGACACGGAGCTCACCACCATAGACGACAGAGTGGAGTTTCCTAGGCGACGCTTCGCGGTCGCCAGGTCTAAGCCGCTGAAGGTGTACAAAAGGTCAGACTCGAAGAACCTGGGCATCGCCAGGACGGACAGTAAGGACGATGGTATGGACTGCAATTATGCGTCTGAGGAAGACGAGGACGACGAGGACGAAGAGCAAGATCAGGAGGAGCCGGTCTATGAGAACGCTTGCAAGGAGAACAATGCTAGGAACCTGGAGAAGGTGTCGCGAGTTCTCAGGAGCTCCAGGATAGAGGTTCAGGAGGATACGAATCTTGAGGAGAACAGTGGTAACTGGTACAGTGATCCTGATGAAGATAGAAACAGCGACGAGGTCTTTGGTACTTATCGTTCCAATGGAAATCACAATTCTGTTCTTGAGTGCGTCAATCAGATTCTACTCAGGGACAGGGAGGAAGAGGATAACGTTCTTTCAGTACCAAGACAATTCAAGCATCGCGGTAGAAGAGTCATATTCGAGCCTGCTAGACTTTCCGACATAGAGTCTGTCGGTTCCGAGATGGAGAGACGTAATTCCGATGAAAATATTATTGATAAGGATAACAACAACGGGGATAGCAATGCGGATCCTGAAAGTGGAATGTTTGAGGCTACCAACTCCGAGGATGAGTTCGGCATGAAAATCGTTCAGTCAGCCAATGTTGTCGTGAGTGAAGTCCTCGCAGAGACTGTCGAGGAGTCCACGGATGAGACCGTAGAGTCCAAGGCTGTTCCAATTCTGGTAATAGAACCGAAGGTGGACGAAGTGTCGTTAAACAATAATCCTCAAAAAATCAAGACGAACGAGTCACCGAGTCCGCCATTAAGGATGGAGAGGGAAGAGGAGAAAGCTTGTCTTCAGATGTCGACTAAGGGTCTGACCATAGCTAAGAACTTAGACTACGAAGATATAGAGTCACTGCCGGAACTGATCTCACCGTCACCGCCGAAGACGCCACCGGCATTGCCGCCAAAACCACAATTCAAAAATAATACTTTAGTCTTGAAAAAAATACCAAGTCCATCCTTTCTCATCAATGAGTCGCACAAGAGACAATTGTCGTCGGACGGGACGCCCGAACACGAGAAAAAAAGATTTGGTTTCTCAGTGTCGCCTAAAAGTGTTCCTAAAAACGTACCAACCACGACAGTTCGAACTTTGACCTACGACGAGAGAAACGCCAGGTCGCCGTTGAGAGCGAACGAGTGTTACGACGGTACTCTGAGAAAGAACAAATTCAACAGTATTCGCTCTTCCTTTCAATCGAGACAGAATCAAGATGGTTGCCAGGAGAAGCCCAAGATGGCCAAGGTAACGAATATCGTCCGTCATTTCGAAGAGTTCAAGATCGGCGAAGCGGAAGAACGTGGAACAAAGGATCATCGTACGCGAGACAAGCACCTTGACTTTGATCAGGATTTCGACATCAGACAGAATTTCGAAGAATTCAATCTAGATGACTGTGATCTTTCAGATGATCCAGATCGCGCCGAGGCTGATGGTTCCGAGAGGTTAGGAAGTCTTATAGCGTCCAATCAGACTGAAACTGGCGGGAAAGCTATTAAGGATTCAAATTTGAATGGCGGTTACTATGACCATTTCTTGGAAGCCACTGGACTCAGCAACAAGTCCATCCTGACGCCGTCGCGACTTCTTAGCAATCATAAGAGCGTTCTTAAACCTAAGGATGTTAAGTACAAGAACAAGATCAAGGCTACGGCCATCTTAGAGAAACATGGCGTCTCTGTAACGGATGCCAGCCACACGCATGTTAGGCATTGGACAGGACCGTTTGTATGACGCGATCCAAAAGCTTTTTTAAAGTAAAAACTCGTTAACTATTGTTCTATCCTAATTATCCTAGTTCGACGATCACGTCGAGAAACAGACAAAGAGAGGTTAGATACGTGGATCTTATGCGAGGGAAGTCAGCGTGAAAACTTTTATGTTAACGCTTAACAGTATTTTTATTTTTTATTTTACTTTTGGTTCTCATTTTTGTATCTCCTCGATAAGCAAATCAATTTTGTATTTAATGTTTAGAAAGATATGTAACGACAATGTTGTCCCAAGTATCCAACACCTTATACCCGGTGTCCTTAAGGTCGAGGATCAACCCATAATCCTTTGGCGGACTGAATGCGATATCAAGCGATTATCATTGTGATTTTTTATTTTTTTCTCCCTTCTATTATTAACGATCGCAAGAGAACATTAAACGATTTCTGTATTAACGTTTAAGTCAAAGAGAGAGATATGTTGTTAAGGTCGGTTCGCTATCCGACCTAAAGTCTTTAACGTATAAAAGTCAGTTTATCATGGAAATTATATTAGCAGACAAAAAATATACTTTCGTATCGTTCAACAAATTCATTATGATGTATTATTTATTTCTTCTCATTTTATTGGGAGATGAACAATTTCCCGATTGTGCTAAGGGATTCTGATAGATTTTTCATAAATCATCCGTTAGCATTGTTCTGTATTTTTATATTTAGCTCTCCTTCTTTCCTCTTGTTACGGTAAGTTAGTTTTATTTTATTATTCGAAATAACTCAGTATTAAATATTATAAATAATTTTGAGTGCTAGGACCAGTTACAAAGTGAGGGATGTTCACTGATGTCATCATTCGATATTATCTAATAATCATGGTATATGTATTATTAAATAAATTTTCAATCTTACATTCTGAATGCAGAGATGAGGAGGGAGATGCACAACGCTACGGTTTCAGGCGATACCAAAATCATGGCGCTAAATCGTAGCGGCGAGTCTGGAAGTAGAAATTTGTGATCATCGCCTCCGTCGACAATGTGAATCCCGTCGTAGCCAAGCTAAACGTGAACACGAAGATATAGCTTGGCGGGCAGAGGTTCTCCGCTACTCACCGCTGGATCCCAAAGCAACACTTTCAACAAGAACGGGAACTATAGAACTCCTTAAGAAATATTGAAAAAGCCTATTGTTGAAACATATTTAAGACATTTTTAAGAAAGTGCCAAATTGGCAACCGCATAGCACCTCACTTTTTATTAAATATTATTGGATCTTGATTTACTTTCAAAATTTATTTAAACTATAAAATAGAGGTTAAATAAAAATCTCGCAGAATATACGGAATA